ATTATAGTATAATTATTATATGTTGTCTTTGACACATCAGTGTTGTAACCTGTAAGTCATAGACAATAATCGGTAAATTTAATCGATTTTATTTCAATTATTCAATCATTTTTATTACTGATTGCATTTAAATTGATTTAAATAGGGTCTTAATCAACAATGTTTTTTTTCTTCATTAAATGTACTATAGCCTGACCAGGAACATAAAAACCCTCGCCATGTTGCGGAAAACTAATGGTACTAATTTCTTTTAATGGCAACAGTAACTGAAAACTTCATTGACATGTCACCTTGCATGTCAGTCTATTGCTGTCAAAGTGTAAACAAACTTTATTTTAAATGTGTGCAATTGATTTTGTGAATTAAAATGCTAAAATATTTTTATAGTCGTGAAAGAAAAGTGGTTCACAATGTGTTAATGTATTTGTCGAAGAGAAATACTAAGGGTTTGGACAATATTTTCATTGAATAATGTTTCCGACAAAGGTTGTCAAATTGACTGACATGTTTATCGTATAGTACAGTCCACTATGAAAATTAGCTGTAGTTTGTTTCAACTACCTATTTTAAAGTTTTTTGTCACTTTCTAAGTTTTGAATTTTATGGAATTGGGAAAGAAGTACCGAGTTTGAAGCGTTCATGAGCAGACATTGCAGTTGAATATTCAAGTTCTGAATTTGATTTTTGATGAATAATAAAATAAATCCTACTAGCTCGATTGATGGTTTCATTTAATTTATTTAAACCAGGTTACCTTTATTAATATTTTTTCGTTAATTTATGAAAATATCAAATTAGCCCGTAATCCTGAATCCTGATACATAAATTTATCCTATTAATTTAACACAGGTATGACTGTACTCAGTGTTGCACTATCAAATGCAATTGAGGCGCCTCTATGCCAGGGTTTTTATGTTCCTGGTCGGGCTATACTAATTATTTAATGCACTGCTTTATAAAGCATTATAAATTCTTTCTATAGGTACGTAAATACTACAATAATTTCAATTCGCGATTAACGAGAGGTTTTGTCGCCTCACTAGGGCACAGATTAAAAATGTTTTAATGTCAGTTGGCCATATTTGTTTACATTTAGGGAAATTTCTAAAGAATCCGACTTTAACATTACTGTATTTTTACCAACTACAAAAATATTCAAATTATGATTAGATTATACTTACGATTATACAAAAATACCATTTATAGCCTGACCAGGAACATAAAAACCCTGGCATAAAGGCGCGTCAATTGCATTTGATAGTGCAACACTGAGTACAGTCGTACCTGTGTTAAATTAATAGGCTAACTTTATGTATCAGGATTCAGGATTACGGGCTAATTTGATATTTTCATAAATTAACGAAAAAATATTATTATAGGTAACCTGGTTTAAATAAATTAAATGAAACCATCAATCGAGCTAGTAGGATTTATTTTATTATTCATCAATAATCAAATTCAGAACTTGAATATTCAACTGCAATGTCTGCTCATGAACGCTTCAAACTCGGTACTTCTTTCCCAATTCCATAAAATTCAACACTTAGAAAGTGACAAAAAACTTTAAAATAGGTAGTTGAAACAAACCACAGCTAATTTTCATAGTGGACTGTACTATACGATAAACATGTCAGTCAATTTGACAACCTTTGTCGGAAACATTATTCAATGAAAATATTGTCCGAACCCTTAGTATTTCTCTTCGACAAATACTTTAACACATTGTAAACCATTTTTCTTTCACGACTATAAAAAGATTTTAGCAATTTAATTCACAAAATCAATTGCGCACATTTAAAATAAAGTTTGTTTACACTTTGACAGCAATAGATGAATAGACTGACATGCAAGGTGACATGACAATGAAGTTTTCAGTTACTGTTGCCATTAAAAGAAATTAGTACCATTAGGTAGTTTTCCGCAACATGGCGAGGGTTTTTATGTTCCTGGTCAGGCTATACTACCCATTTCCGTTTATTCCCTCGCTCTCATCAAATGGTGATTATTTGCGATAGAATCTATACTAATATTATAAAGCTGAAGAGTTTGTTTGTTTGTTTGTTTGGTTGAACGCGCTAATCTCAGGAACTACTGGACCGATTTGAAAAATTCTTTTTGTGTTGGATAGCCCGTTAGTTCCTGAAGGCTTTAGGCTATATATCATCACGCTAAGACCAATAGGAGCGGAGCACCAATGAAGAATGTTTCAAATCAGTGATTTTTTTCCTTTTGACAGCTGACGCTGCGTAAACGGTTAAAGTTTCGCAAAAATCATGTATGACAGAATTGTTCCCCTTTAAAAGTTCTAAAAAAAAGTCCGCGATAGCATATGTCTATCTTTTAAGGTTGGCTCATAGTAACCCTTTTTATGCAAAAAGAAATCTGTTTTAAATTAATGCATTATTTGCGCAGGTTTTTTCATAAACATGATATTAATCCTTATCCAAATAAATAAGTTATTCATCACAAGTATTTAATTTTAAACATACTTGGCCTTTACACCATTCGATTTCAATAAATATCTTAGAAGATATCGCAGTTTTAAAATATCATCGCAGCAAAATAATGATCAAGTACTGCGCGCGCCACTGATGGATCAATGCACAGCCTAAACCGCTGATCGTAGAGACCTGAAACTTGGACGGTGTATTCTTTGTAAGACGTAAGCATCTGATAAGAAAGGATTTTCCAAAATTCTACCCCTAAGGAGGTAAAAAGGGGGGGGCAAAGTTTGTATGGGATAACGAGATTCCTTCGTTCAATCTACTTCAAATTTCGCATAAGCATTCTTATAACAGAATTAATGGAAGATGTGTTTCGTATTTTAGTGAAATGCACCCCCTAACTATGTTAAAAAGGGGTAGAAAGTTATTTTAGTGGTGATTTGCTTCAAAGTTGATATTAATTACTCATTAGTGCATTTTTTTTACAATCATGTCATGTTAAAGACTATCATACTCTAGGGGCCTCCACTTAACCTCGGAGTTGGTGCCCGCTGCGTGCGCTCGCCTAACAATGCATAGTAATGCATGACGGTCAAGCCGCGGGCACCTGCTTGCGCTGTATACATAAACTCATTTTCGCGCGAGAGTTTTGGCGGAGGCCCTTGAGGTAGTGGGAGTAGTCTTGAGGAAAAGCTCCTTCTCCCACGGCCAGTGGCATGCTAGAAGCTTGGTGATTCTAGCACCTGTAGGAAAATAAAAAAAAAGTTTACCAATAATACTGCGGTAGGTGTAGTTTTCGATTTCGTTGCAAAAAGATAATACCACCGATCAAAGGCCGAGCTGCATATTCATAAAATATAAGAAAATTTTATTTTTATGTTTATTAATTTAACCTTTAAGATTTTTATATTTTATAAGTATTCAAACATTTAGATAATAACGTTAAAAACATTTAAAAATCGAATGAGAACGTTTTCGACTTCTCCGCGGACGAAGTCGCGGGCAAAAGCTATTTGTAAAATAATTAGACTAAATTATTAAAAGTGCCTACAAAGTCATTATTCCACGCGGACGAAGTCGCGGGCACAGCTAGTGAGAAGATATGACCGGAAATGGGTAGCTGGAACTGTGGCCCATAGTGCATAATGATGTTCAAACAAGTCATTGAAACATAGAGCATTGAAATGTACTAATTATTTAAAATAAAGTACCTTACATCTGGTCACACTGATTTTACATAGATAAAATAAGTCGTATGGCGCAAGTTGTACTTTCGGCCACAATGTTAACTATCCATTTCCGTTTTTGCTCTCGCTCTCATCAAATGGTGATTCTTTGCGATAGAGCGAGACGACATGACCGACAATGGGTAGTTAACACCGTTGCCGATTAGTACACTATGTGGAAAATTGTCCAAGTACCGAAGTATGGGCATGGGCACAGAATAAGTAATATGGTATGGGCGACACACGGGTGCCCGGGTGGGGGAAAGAGACATTAACCGAGATGGTGTTCACACTACTACGCCTTGGCCAATTTCCCGCATAGTGTACTTGTGCCAGTAAAACACCGGCTGACCGGAATGCCCTAATATTTTTAACCGACTTCAAAAAAAGTAGGCTAGGTTCTCAATTCGACTGTTTTTTTTTGTGAATTTTATGATATTAGATCAATCCACAGCAGAGCACATAATAATAATTTTATGTTAGGATAAAGATTAATTTATGAGGACAAAAAGTCCAATAAAATCTAAGTACGTATGACGGTATGACACAATGACGGACTGTGTTATGGTTTGGAACCTAATATTTTTTAATTTGGCTTATTCGCGGGATGCGCTTCAGTCAGACGAGATATCACGGAGACAGGGCAGAATTAAAATAAACAGGCATTGCAGCGATTTTTTTTTTATATTTATTTAATAATAGTAAAACTTGTTGCAGACTTGAACACAAAAATGTAATACTACTGGCACACATGAGCCAAGGGTGTATGACTAGATATTTATACAAAAAATATTTTACAAACAAAATTATCTAATTTCATCGTAAATACCTTCATAATTAAAAAAAAATTGCCACAAATTAATGGCACATAAAAATGAGCAGGAGTGTTGAATTACTTACAAACATAATATTATCATTAGCATCTTAAATTATAGAAACTTTCTATTCTAACACAATGTACTTTATTAGCATGTCAATGTAAATACTGTGATGATTTAATTCTTAGTTCCGTAAAATATTATGCTCTCCTTTATCCACTTCCCTGCTAGGAAGTGGATGACACTGCTATTGAGTATCAACTTTAAAGTTTGTGTAATGGCACGCCCCATTGATGATGATTTCGCTGATACTTGAAGTCGGAGGCGTATGGGCCGTAGGCAGAGATTCTATGTGCGTGGTTGATGTCATTGTAGGGCTTGTGAATAATTTTCCACTATGTATCGCTGTAGTATTATGAGGTTGGCTTGTATGTGTGTATACAGTGCAAGCAGTGTTTTGTTCTACTCTTGTATCACAAATCATGCCCATTTTAACTTCAAATATCACATCCTGTATCTTTTTCTTTGCCACCAAAAGATTCTTTTCTCCTTTCAGAGATCGCAATTCATTGGCAACATACTCCCCAAAGACAGAGAATTCATCTCTATTTCTTTGTATGCTAGGAAATACAACATCAGATTTTGGAGAGCTGAAAGAGTCTGTTCTTGTAATTTTGTGTGGTGGAGAGATGCTGCCTAGTTTGCAGTCAACAATGGAGCTTTCCGAGTGTGGTGGCAGTACATTTGTTTCAGAACTCAGGTCCTGAAATTGAGATAAATTCATGTTAATAAAAACAATAAATATGTAATAGTAAGTAATACTTAATAATAACTAGGTAATATGGAAAAGTCGAGTAAGAAGAATTTAAGAATTAAAATCAATTTATATTTGTAGATAATTCTTTTTTTTAATGTTTAAGTTTAACAACTTACCGTCTGTAAAATTCTGTACGGTTTGCTAGAATCCTTCATAAAGTGTAGATATTCAAACGCGTACCAATTACTAATGTATCGGTCGTGGGGATCCTCTGCATTTGCTCGCGCTTCCCTAGCAGACTCCCTGTTATATTGCGTCCTCAAATGCTGGATCTTTTTGGTCGTGTCCGGCACAGATATACCCAAGATCTCGGATATAGTACGCAACTCCTCTTTCCGCTTCTGTTTGTCCCTCCGAGTATCACACAAAGACGGGTTCCACAGACTAGCGTTCAGTTGCAACAGTTCGATCAACTTCAAAGTCTTATCTTTCGACCACTCCATCGCGCAGTCTACACGAGCGTTCATCGAAATTATGGTGTCAACATTTTTAAAGAGATGTTCGACAACAAATCGTTAGATAATTCACCAAACAACGCAGCGGACCGGATCGAGCTCTTCGATATTTTGTGACTATGACAGTGACAGAAGCTGACAGCTGTCATTTCAGAAGCGTTCCGATTCACAGTGTTATTTCAAATTATTCATTCGATAGATTTTGTTAATTTATACTAGATTTATATTAATTAATATTCCACAAAAATATTAATAAACATTCTTACCACATCCACAGAGCAAAGTAATTCTTACAAACAAGAATCATTTTTTGGTTCCATTCCTTTTGTACGAAAAGGCAAAGGCATTATGCCATACAGCCAAGTATTCAGTTTCTACCTAAGGCCCGGTTTCCACCAAGGCGAAGCAGAGCGGAGTGGAAAAGTGTTTTGACTTATAGCCTGACCAGGAACATAAAAACCCTCGCCATGTTGCGGAAAACTAATGGTACTAATTTCTTTTAATGGCAACAGTTACTGAAAACTTCATTAACATGTACACTTAGTAGGCAAATAAACAATTTGAATTTGAATTTGAATTTGAATTTGAACCTTGCATGTCAGTCTATTGCTGTCAAAGTGTAAACAAACTTTATTTTAAATGTGTGCAATTGATTTTGTGAATTAAATTGCTAAAATATTTTTATAGTCGTGAAAGAAAAGTGGTTCACAATGTGTTAATGTATTTGTCGAAGAGAAATACCAAGGGTTCGGACAATATTTTCATTGAATAATGTTTCCGACAAAGGTTGTCAAATTGACTGACATGTTTATCGTATAGTACAGTCTACTATGAAAATTAGCTGTAGTTTGTTTCAACTACCTATTTTAAAGTTTTTTGTCACTTTCTCAGTTTTGAATTTTATGGAATTGGGAAAGAAGTACCGAGTTTGAAGCGTTCATGAGCAGACATTGCAGTTGAATATTCAAGTTCTGAATTTGATTATTGATGAATAATAAAATAAATCCTACTAGCTCGATTGATGGTTTCATTTAATTTATTTAAACCAGGTTACCTTTATTAATATTTTTTCGTTAATTTATGAAAATATCAAATTAGCCCGTAATCCTGATACATAAATTTAGCCTATTAATTTAACACAGGTACGACTGTACTCAGTGTTGCACTATCAAATGCAATTGAAGCGCCTCTATGCCAGGGTTTTTATGTTCCTGGTCAGGCTATAGGTACCAATCAGATTTTTATTATTTTCAACCGACTTCAAAAAAAGGAGGAGGTTCTCAATTCGACCCGTATGTTTTTTTTTTCACAAAATTAAATCTCTCCGCTCCGCGTCGCGCTGCCACCGCTGTTAAATTCTATAGAAAAACGAGTCCGCCCTATACATTTCTCTCAAATAATGGTCTTAATTTCTTTAGTCCCTTATTCACTCGTTTTAATTCATAATTGGATGCAAATCAAATTTTAAACGTATAGTATAATAGGTACAATGATATAAAAATTACCTACTTGCTTCATTTTAAAATTTAAGTAGCCCTTAGTTCCTGACATTAAACTAAGTAAGAAATTATCCAACAAGCCTAGGATTTACGTTACTGCACTCGGGGTGTAAGAAGTCCCATATAAAATGAAAAATGAAAATGAAATATTTTATTCAGCGACGAGTGCGTTAATAATAACACATTCGTTGCCAGGATAACCTGGCATAATGTTGTCTCCTTTCTGGTGTAAATGTGCCCGAAACTTTAAATTTGAGCCCTCAGCCGTTCCAGCAGTACCTACCTATTCAAGAAAAATGGTTTCTGCTAGGATAACGTTATCCTGACTACATCATTTTTACCTGCCTGTAGGGTCTAGGTGGATGAAAAGTATACCATTTGATATTTGAGCCCGATTGTGCCCCAAAAAAAAAAATTTGAGCCCCTAAAATAGCATCAAAATGTTTTGGCCACATAGATCTGGGACCGGTTGCTCTAGCCGAGTCAGCTAGACAAAGTTAGTATACACCTCCCTAGACCTAGTAGGTATCAGTCGAAATCGCTAAATCGCATCTAGGTTCACGAATCATGAACTTGAATTTGTCAGGAATTAGGAATATAGGGAGACTTAAACTAGGGGGTACCTAAGTTTGTTAGGGACTCGCTAAATACTTTTTTTATTTTATTTATTTATTTAGTAAATATTATAAATTCATCATTACAGTAGTTAGGAAATGTTTTTCAGTTATATGCTGATCTCAATGATATTCTGAAATCCTACTTATTTGTTATAAGCTGAATGACTTTGGTATTGAGATTGAGAACGACTTAAGAATGATTAAAGCAATTTAAATCCCTAAATTGTTGAACCAATAAAACGAATACATTTTTCTAATTCATTCTCATTTATTTACAGACTACAATGTGAGAAGACTTATCACATTATAAAACGAGTGCTCTACATTCTAAAAATATTTATTTACAATATTTACACATTACCATCCATCAGAAATGCAATAAGTAAAAATAACTCGGCTACACTCATCGGAACAAAATAATCACGGTTCTTAACTACAGGAACTAAATAACAATAAAATCAAGGAACACAAAAATCAGCGTTCGGATCGGGTGCCGTACAGCTTAAGTCAATAACTTAATCAATACACAATCAATGTACAGAAAACAAGCAGTTCATTTTATAAACTATCAACACCTAATTTTATTACCAAAAATAATATTAGTCTAGGTACATTGTAATTAATGTTCTATTGTTTGTATTATATCAATCGGTGTACGAAATATTAAAAGGAGTTAGTTTTGGTAGATTGGATCTTATTAATTATTATTATTATTGTTGATTATAATTATAACTATTAATTATAATTATAAATCTAACTCCTCATTTAAAACATTATTTGCTTTAAATTACACGGTTATTGCATGTTATAAAATAAATATTTATGCTTGCGTCTAACATTTAAGAATAATTCATATAATGAGGATATTATCGGACTTTTAAATAATTTCAAATAAATAACAACAACAATGAATTAAAACAAAATTAAATGTAAACAATCACTAGAGAGTTACATTTTGTGTAAAAATAATAAAGTTATGAGTAAAATAATTAAATGGAGAGATAAAACTAGAGATTCACAAATTATAAATGTCACATTGAATACAGACCAACTCTCATTATAAGGTTTATTAAATTAATTCTAACGGAAGCAATATTAATTTGTTGTAAGTAGTTATGTAGAAAAATAATTGTGTATTTAGTTATTAGGTACATTCCATACGTTAAATTAATTATTTACTCACTTAAATAATATTTTATTATGTCCTTTTAGGATCGGTTTTTTGATCCATAGTCAAATCTACCAATGTTTTATGACTAGTGGTTAAATGATCAGCAAATTGAATTTTTTATGCAATTTAATAGTTGTTTTCTTTATAAATGTTACTGAAGTTTACAATTAACCATTGGTTACAAAAGACTATCAGTTGAGTTAACTGCGGATAAAAAACTGACCCTGTACCTAATAATGTAACTTCTTCTATCAACAATAAGTTTGTTTCAATAAACACAGGCCACCCATGCCTATGGTCGGCCATGCACACTTCAAATAGCGTTCACTCACCAGTCGCAAATACTGGCTATTTTATTATCTACAATTTCAACAAATAATATAGGACTTCTTATTTTATAACAATTGACAAAAGACATCTTTGTATTACCAAAACATGGCGATTCTCTTGACAGGTAATAAGTATCTTCAATTAGCGTCTATCGCACCGACATCAGTTCACTACCTACTCATCATTTAGGCCTATATTATGAATGAGGAATTCAGGTTTCACTTCTAGGTCTTAACACATCATGACATCACCAAAGTGAACTAAATAAATACCTAGCTATCTACATCTGTACAACAACGTCCAAAGTGTGTATCAACGGGGTTTACGTCACGTCGTTTGGTCGGGGCTCTCGAGATCTGAAGAAACCCTTCTCCGTGCGGCACTCTCTGATGGTGACGGTCTGGAGGTTCACGGTCACGTCGGTGATGAAGATCTGGTCGGCGACGGGCGAGCGCGCCAGCCAGTACGAGGCTCCTCGGCGAGCGGGCTGCGGCGGCGGGGGAGGCACCGCGAGCGGCGCTTCGCCCCAGGAATCTTCGTCTTCGGGTTGACTCGTCGGGGGTGGTGGTCGGGCGCCTTTCGGCTCCGCGGGCGCTGTCGCAGTCGGCTGGGAGTCGGTGCGTCTTTCTCTTTCTGGGGGAATATGAGCGTCGGCCTCCTCCGGCGAGTGAGGGGCTCGTCTAGGACCGGTCCGAGGCGCGGCGGCTTCCGCGGCGGGGGAGGCGGGCGCGGCGGCCCCGCCGGGCGGCGCGGCCGGCGGTGGAGGAAGGACTACGTGCGGCGTCCGCGAGCCGTTCAACTTGCTGCTATCGTGCCTCTTCGCCGGAGGACTCATGGTTATGGTGACGCCGATCTTGCCCGACTCCCGGGACAGCACCTCGGCCTTGCGCTTGCCGGGCGGCGGGTGGCGCTCCTCGGAGCCGCTCCGCGCGCGCTCGACCGGGGAGTGATCCCGCTCCCGCTTGCGTCCTTGACGCCTCAAGTCCTCCCCGCGTTCGAAACTTTGTATGAGCCGGGGGTCGAGGATGTTCTCCTCCGGTTCCCAGGTGTTGTGCTTCGGCTTCCACCCTTTCCATTTCACGTAGTACTCCACTTTGTTCTGAAAAGAGATATTTTGACGGTTAACGAATCGAATTTAAAATTGCAGCGAGCGCGCGGCGGGGCTGTCGTGGCGCGACTGATCGGTGGCATGCACACGAAACGGGAGGGTTGCACATAACCTTGCTTGCAGATTGTACGCGATAATGTTACGGTGAAAGTGCGGGAATAACGTTCGTGTCGATAAGTAGGCATGGGGTGAAATTAGGTAGGTGTGGAGGGGAATAAAATTTTCGTGGAGTTGCGAGTTGCGAGTGCAGTAGGTACTGGAGTGGGTCAGGTTGGGCACGGGCTGCCCGGGGCGCACCTGCCGCGCCAGCTGGCGGCTCGGGCGGGCCCCGCGAGGGCCGCTTATGCGTTCGCGCGACATGCAACAACGACATGCTTCGCGAGCCGGCGCGGCATCAACACTTCGACTAGCACTAATGACTCACTTGTTGGCAGGGAACATTTTACGCGAACTGAACGATCATTAAAATGAGAAACACCGGCAATAACTTGTTGATCTGCTCATTATTATTGGTATTCCAGCGTTAAATATTGCGATTTTGATATTTATCACGTGAGAGATATTCATGCATCGGCAAACGTAAACTGCGAACTGCCCGGTATAGCAAGGTCGATCGATGTCCCGAACATAAAACTAGGGCAGGCCCAGATTTGAACTCTCATTCACTAACGAGCAATTTATTTATAGTGGCCAGACAATGAATACAGGAATCGACAGGTTGTTGTATTTACATACATTTGATTTTTATGTTCTTTCTTACTTACTAAAGAACTATCTTTGTATGCATTTTACTTTTCTCATTGAAGCCATATCTTTCAGAAGAAAAAAATTATAATCAAAGCTTTGTAAAGAGGGAACATAAAAGCTCTCAATACCCAACCTACTTCACTACCTCCTATGAAAGTTATTAGGTAGCGTTCAACAGGCTTGTTACCTTTTATTAGTAAGTAAGTAGGCGAAAAAATGAAGGCAGAAAGAAATGGATGCGATAACAATGAAAGACGTAGATCTGTGGTCAGATTGAGATCACGAAGGGAAGCAAGAAAAATAAAGCCTTTGACGCGCAAAATTAGGCCTAATTTGGCATGCAAGTGTAAATTAACAGAAAAACATCAATGATTAATATTAGACACAAACAGAATCAAAATCAACAAAGAACAAATAAATCAATGAGTGAAGACAGTAACTTAATACCTCTAAGATAGTCCATTGAAGTGTAAAGTTAGTGCGCATTCACACAGCGGTCAGTTTCACAGGTTGAACTTGTTTCGTCTGTGTGAACACGCCCTTAGTTTTGGAAGGGAATTTTAACGTGCACGCTGTTTCCAGAGTGCATCTGCCATCATCTGTTACAGCGAAATAATCCAGGACCGCGATATTTTATACGCATCTTCAGTGTACTTACTTAATTTGAACAGTGTCTTCAACGGAAATAAAACCTTATTAATTCAGGGTTAAGTCGAAGTCTGTGTGGCTCAAAGGCACTTACGCCCTATGGAGATACGGCCGGCTTTTGAAACCCTCGCGTCTTATTGGTTTTAGTGATAGAGGGTGAGTTGAAATTTTGCAACGACGTGACTTTGTACTGAGGTATTTTTGAAATATTTTTTTGGAAAAAATGTTTTTTTTTGTTGTAGTAGCTGTAGATGCATTAAGTGATACGTATTTTATAATTTAATAAAAAAATGTTTACAATGTAGATAAAGTTTTAAAATAAGACGAGACGACAAAAGAAACATAAAATATAAAAAGTGTGTGCACTAAGTAATAACTTGTACAATACACTAAAATAAAATTTAACAATACCCAATAATCGATAAAACAACCCGCCAAGGTAAAAAGCTTGAGCTAATAATGGAACAATGGCAACATTGTAGTGCATTGTGTGCATTAAAACTTGACCGCAAGCTAAACTCAGAAACCAAACAAAGACATTACCATTTGAAAAAAAAAATAAAGGATCAGTCGGGACGTGTGGGCAAGGTGAGGTCGGTCGCCTGACGTTCAGCGATTGGACGGCGCGCGGGGCGGGCGGGGCGAAGGGAGAGGTGCCCCACCCCCGCTTCGTCTCTCTCCACCCCCGCCTGCCTGGTCTGACCTACCAACTTACGCTTGCCGCCAACATGGCCCTTAACTCGACCGACTACGGTTCAATTTTAACTGAAATGTGGGCGTAGTTAAGATGGCGGCTTTGATGGTTGTAATCGCGCCATGGGCGGACCGCGGCTCGGAAGCATAGACGCCAATTAGCGCCGATCGGAACTCATGTGGTAATTAGTGCAGGAGTAATTAGAAGATTAATAGCTATCCGCATTATCCTCCAGATTAGTGCTCGATTAATATTGCCGAGGCAGAAGGACGACTGGTGCTGTTTTACGCAAAATATGAAGTTGTATTCGGTTCATACTGAAAGTTTTGTCATGCATCAAACTCAAATGTTATACCTACTCTTTGTCATTCATTTAGACAATATACTCGTATAGATTTTTAGGGTTCTTGGGATGTTTGTTCATCAAATCCCACTTCTACCCTTTAAAATTATCACAATTAGTGATAAAAGTTGAAAGTGTGGGGTTAACTTTTATCATGTATTTTTCGCTTTTAGCATAATAGTTGACAGACAATGAGTAGGTAATATTTTAAGGTAAAGTTTAATCAAGTAATTCCACGTTAAGCTTATCCCGGATTATCTTAAAAGTTGCGTAGGAGGTCTCGAACTTCAACAGTTTCAATTTTACAATGAAAGGTAGAAATAATAAAAGTTAATGGATTCTGTCAGTCTTACGTAAAAATAGGTCTTTTGTCGAAGTAAATATTCAAATTAACTAAGTACTCAGTTACGAGAACTTTTTACAACATTTTTCTTTAATTGGCAAAATATTTTGTTTCACAAAGCAGAATGTGCAAGAGGCGATTAGATAACAGAGAAACGTATTTAGTTAATGCAAACCAACAATGAGATGTTCGGACATTATCACAGAAACATTGGCCCCACAGGGATTGGAAACCCAAAACAGAAACTAAAATAAACAACTTGAAAAAATCGAACTGCCTAACACACAACCTGACACGGCGACAAGGCCAGGAGGTCGTCAAAATATTGCCTGAAAAGGCCTGTTGTTGGCAAAAGATTAGAAGAGTTAGGTTTTGGAGTGTTAGGTTTTGGAGAATTAGGTTTTGGAGTGTTAGGTTTTGGAGTGTTAGGTCTTGGAGAGCTAGGTTTTGGAGTGTTAGGTTTTGGAGTGTTAGGTTTTGGAGAGTTAGGTTAGGTTAGGTTAGGTTTTGGAGTTAAGAGTTTTGGAGAGTTAGGTTTTGGAGAGTTAGGTTTTGGTGTTAGGTTTTGGAGTATTAGGTTTTGGTTCAATAATATAAATGTCAAATATAGCCTGACCAGGAACATAAAAACCCTGGCATAGAAGCGCGTCAATTGCATTTGATAGTGCAACACTGAGTACAGTCGTACCTGTGTTAAATTAATAGGCTAACTTTATGTATCAGGATTCAGGATTACGGGCTAATTTGATATTTTCATAAATTAACGAAAAAATATTATTATAGGTAACCTGGTTTAAATAAATTAAATGAAACCATCAATCGAGTTAGTAGGATTTATTTTATTATTCATCAATAATCAAATTCAGAACTCGAATATTCAACTGCAATGTCTGCTCATGAACGCTTCAAACTCGGTACTTCTTTCCCAATTCCATAAAATTCAACACTTAGAAAGTGACAAAAAACTTTAAAATAGGTAGTTGAAACAAACCACAGCTAATTTTCATAGTGGACTGTACTATACGATAAACATGTCAGTCAATTTGACAACCTTTGTCGGAAACATTATTCAATGAAAATATTGTCCGAACCCTTAGTATTTCTCTTCGACAAATACTTTAACACATCGTGAACCACTTTTTTTTCACGACTATATAAAGATTTTAGCTATTTAATTCACAAAATCAATTGCGCACATTTAAAATAAAGATTGTTTACACTTTGACAGCAATAGACTGACATGCAAGGTGACATGTCAATGAAGTTTTCAGTTACTGTTGCCATTAAAAGAAATTAGTACCATTAGTTTTCCGCAACATGGCGAGGGTTTTTATGTTCCTGGTCAGGCTTTATTTAAGAAAATGTTAAAAGCAACGTTTTCTGAAAATTCTGTAATGGAAAGGTTAGGTTTTTGAAGAATAAGAATTTGAAGATAGGTTTTCGAAAAGTTAGGTTTTCTGAGAATCAAGTTATCGAAATTTTAGTTTTTTGGAAGAGTTAGGTTTCTGGAGAGTTGTTTTCATTAAGTTTAGTCCTCGAACAGATACAGATTTTAATAAATATGATTTCGTAGCCGATTACACGCAACAGCAGCAGACAACATGTCACCGCGACACATTATTTTCTACGTATTTCTATGAAATACTTTTAGAAATTAGACGATGTGTCGCTAGCATCGAATGCTTTCATAAAATATAATCTTTTGACACATTGAAAGGTTACGTCAACAAGACCCATTAACGAAACGAGTGGATTTAATACAAAATGACTTACTTGACTTAAGTGCCTATGTCCCCTAGACGGGGCAGAGGGCGTCCATAATGGTTCATAATAGGATTCTGTTTTCAGGCGCGAGTATTCTGCGCCTGAAAACAGAATCCCATCACTAGGGAGGATATTTGGAAAAAACCGAGCGAGTCCAGAAGCTCTGAGGTGGCAGCCCCACCACCGGACTAGGGTACAGTAGGTTATCACCCACTTGCCCGAAAACACTCGATTAACGAAACGTACTCAACAGGAAACCGGACCGATTAATACAAAATGTAACAACTTTATTCCCTGTGAATTTTTAAAATAGCGGATGCAGCCAGCCATAAAGAGAACACGACGTCAAAGGACCACAGACAGCTCTGCGCTCGATTTAATTACAAGTCTGATGTACGAAGTACGGACGTCAGCTCAAGCTAAACAATAGCATCCTTTGTAGTTGTAATAGG